GGCTACTTTTGTACTTCACAAATTGACTGCTGTGTTAATGTGAAATGACATGTAGACAGCACAGTTGTTAAGCAAGTCTGAATGTTTGTGTTATTTGTTGTTTTATCATATACAGCTCCTTGGCTGAATGTACAGTAGTGTTTATGTAATGTTTTTGATCATGTTGTAATGGAAGAACTGAGCATTAACTGGGAGGGGTCCCTTGTGGAATACCATTTCACCTGAAGCTAAAAAGTTAGCATTATCAGAACATTATTTGAAGGTATTTTAGTCAAGATGTGATACATGCTGCTGTACCTTTTAATGTACAGGAATTTCTTTATTAATGTAAACAAAAATTTAAGTTTTTTAGTTGTCTTTATGTGTGTGTGTTGTAAAATACATTTTAAACAATTTTTTTTATTATGCTAAAAAGGCATTTTGCAAGATATTTTTAATGCATTAATGATGCATTATTCTCACACTGAATGGTTTCATAAAGCAGCTTCCCAAGATATTAATAGTGGCTCTTGGAGTATACTAGTAATAAATTACTAATATGCTGAAATGCCAATAAAAATGTTCAGGGAACACATTTAAATATATTTAAACTGTTCTTCAAGTATAGCACAAAATGGTATTTTAAGTTCAATTTAAAAAAGTATATTTAAATTACAGTAAAGGTACTTAAAATAGGTCCATTTTAACACAACTAAGTATATTAAAATATATTGCAATTATCTTAAAGTTGACTAAGTATTTCCAAAATAACACATTTAATATACACTTAGTATAGTACAATTAAAATAAGTGCATCCAAAAAAGTGCTACTTAAGAATATTTCTTTTTCACTTGGGGGAAACAGCTGATCAGACGTGAGTTCAATACTTATTCGGCAAGTGTTTCCACCTCCCATTTAGCGCATTTACTCTTTTTCGACAAAGGCAAAAAAACCTCAAGCGAGCGTAAAAACTTTTTTGCGAAATTAAGGGTTTTGTTTGGGAAAGCTGCCGTTTCCATCAACCTTTTCTAATGAGATAGTCTACTTCAAAATGCACATAAAAAACCACAGCTAAATTCCATTTAGAAAAGTATCCTATAAAGTAACTATCAGATCACATTGGCTGAAAAGGTTAAAGTTCACGGCCTGTCCTGTTGAAAAAAGATACATAAGCATTGGGCTAGGCTACTGCTATTTAAAGTTTTTGTGACACAACAACAATTTCCTGCGGTGTTTCTGAGAGCCTTTGGACTGAATAATATTACTGTCATTTTGTTGTTTCCACTGGTTCTGCTTTGTTATTACCATTGTAGGAAAGTGTTTAGGCCTACTGTGATGAGGGATGACATCCGTTTTCAGTGCAAAACAATGCAGGAGTCTTACTTATCAGTCTAGGCATAACGCTGGTTTCAGGGATGTGAGAGTCATTAGTAATAACCCTCCTTCCACCACAGCTTAGCTGGGAAACTCTCTCCGTAGAAGCACAAAGGGACTTGAAGACTAAAAACTGTCTGTCGTGAGCTTGCAGGCGCGCATGAAGATATTTTCGCTTAGGGGTGCAGCACTGTAGAAATGCACGCATGACACGACTGTGCTGGCACGCACTTACACACTTTCCTTCAGCACAGAGTGGTTACAAGCATGGTCGTATGAGGTCACCGAGGTCCGGACCTCCGTAATTACATGTATGTATAAAATCATTCGAATAAAAACCATTGATAGCACGATCAATGTAAATGGAAGCCATGCGGGCGCAGCTGACCGTCGCTACCCTCATTTCAACTTGAAGTACTGTTCCAAGCTCAGTGTCCACTCTTGGGAAAACACATGAAGCACATGAAAACCTTGTGCGTGCACCGCTGCTTGCGGGCAGAATTTTGGACAATACATTTTGTGAATTTCGGGGCGGTGAAATAGGGTGAAGGGTCTCCCCATTAAGAGAGACGCTGTGCGCTTTTACGCACGAGGAGGCACAGCAGCATAACTTCATATTTAAGTCTCCCGACACAGGATCAATTAATATTTTGAGTTCCTCTACACATCCAAAAGGTCTGGCACACAGTCCAATTCAAAACTGTTTGGAGTAAAGCAGCCGGCCTCCAGATCAATCCTGAGCTCCATTAGTGCGGGTGTAAGGTTTTAGCACATACAGTGTCACAAATCTCATGTTTCAGCGGCATTCATTTGTTGTTGAATGTATAAAATCTGTATGCTATTCATTTAATATTTATTTTCAAATAAAAGGTCATGAAAATATTGTCTTGAAAGATGTCTGTTTGTTAGGCCTACCAGTATCAACATATACCAGCTTGTGTCACTGACTGTGCTGCTAGTTGAAAGACGAGTGACGAGGAGGGCAGAGCCGAGTCTCCGGTGTCCAGCTGTCTGTCCCTGAAGCGTGACCAGTCCAGAGAGATTCCTCTTGAACAATTCAACACAAAGTAAGAGTTCTCCTTATTCTGTTAGCCTTGTGGAATAAATCAAGCGACCGGATGTTTTAGATGTGGGGCATAATAGATGCACGGTCAGAACGTCTTGATATTAGAGTGTGCAAATATTAGTGGCTCTCAAACTTTTTCTGTCATGCCTCCATTTGGAAGAAAGAAACATTTGCAACAGAAAACAGACTTGTAATCACATAATATGACCATAAACACATGGGAGTTTCCAGATCAGACTCTTCATTATGCGGCTAAATTTTGTGCCAATTGAGTAATAATCTACAGAAGCGTCATATGGTGCGCCACTGCTTTCAGTGCCTGATGTGAACTTGTGTCACTGATTTCCTTGTTCTAAATATTACAGACTGAACCTTTAATAAAAAAGGTAATAATAAGGATCTACTGACAGAAATGCACTATAATATCCATAACTATGTTTTCAGTGGTGTATAAGGACATAATAACATAATGAACCAGTATGTTTTTAGAGAAACCGCCATGTTTCTACAGTAGCCCAAAAGGACAAACTGCTCTACAGAGCGCGTTTCGTCACTACGTTGAATACGTACGAAGTAAATCAGTAGTAGTCTTCTGGTTTGTTTGAAGTAAAAAGAGAAGTGAAATTTGGACAAATAAGAGGACCACATATTCAGCACAAGAGCCGACAAAGCGTGTCGGACACCTTAGCTGCTGCTCTGTGCTTGCAAAGGGAGGAGTGAGTGATGACTGATGATGCATTCAGTTGTGTTGGAATAATCTGATTTTTTTTCTCCTTGAATCTTTTTGCAAAAAGAGAAATAAAGCGGGAAATAAAGAATTATACAGAAGAGAAATAATAAAAACTTTGCCAGGGGTAGTCTATATTATATTAAGATATTAAAAGAGGAAAATTGTCTTGGCACATGCAGAGATTTTGGGAACTAAATGGAAAAGAAAGGCCTCTGCTTGATTAAATCAACTTTTACAAATCTCTACATTACAGTATCGTGCATTTCCAGTTTTTACTACATTTCTTCTGGTCCAAATGCAAGGATTCATGGAGTACGACATATAAGGACAGAATCGATATGTAAAATGTTATTTTTCTCTGGGACGTTCGCCCAGGTTTGGACAGGGCAGATCAAAAAGGGTTAATGTGTGAGGATGTTTGTGTTCCAGCAGTTGGATAATAGTATTGCCTCCAAATTTTGGGAGTGATTGATTGCTTCTTATGTAAGAAAACGTAGACAAAGAGGAGGACATGTTCTGTGTATAAAAATGTGTAGATTCAAATTTGCTCAAAGGATCACCACCTCCTCTGTCTTTCTACCGTTTCATAAACACCATGCTGTGTGAAAGGTTCTGTCACTTCCTGTACTTTATCAATCAGAATTCTGACGATGTCATAATGTTGATGATGTCAGAACACCATGCTGTGTGAAAGGTTCTGTCACTTCCTGTACTTTATCAATCAGAATTCTGACGATGTCATAATGTTGATGATGTCAAAACACCATTCTGAGGGGAATGTGATGTCACTGCCTGTACTTTATGACATCTTCAACATTCCAAAGATCAAAGTCACTGAGGGAACACATTTTAATACTTCAACTGTTCAATCTAACACCTGAATCATTTACAACTGAGCTTCGTGTACAGAGCCCAGAAAAAGAAACTTGTTGAAAAATGGATATGGACTTAGAAGCAGTCATTCAACAACTTGAAGGCATTAATATCCAACTGCAAAGGTATCCGAAACAAGATCAGAAAAAACAACTGGCAGAGCACCATGAAAATAGCCGAACTCAAAAAGATTTGGATGCAATGCCCATGGCTGTGAAAGTGGCAAAAGAAGCCATTTTAATAGCCAAGGAAGCTTTGGGAAAAGAACTTCAGGAGCTAAACCATATGCGACCTGACAAAGCCTGGGATGAGAAGTGTAAGAACATCAAGGCAGAGCACTTAGCAGCAAGCCAGCAAAATGGGGCACTGCAACAACAGATTCAGGAGCTCAGGAAAAAACTCCAAAATGAACCAGCTTTGGAGGAAATGTGTAAGGTCATGAAGGAGGAAACTGAGGTCGTGAGGCTCCAGAATTACAGCATACAAGAGGAGATCCAGGAGCTCAAAGAAAAGTGCAGAAATTTAAATGCTTTGGATGAAATGTATGATCAACTGAAAGCAGAGAATGTGGCGATTAGCCAGCAAAATGACAACCTGAGACAAGAGATTCAGGAGATAGCCAAAGATCTCCGTAATGAAAAGGCTCTGCAGGAAATGATTGATCAAATGGAAGTGTCAACAGTGGCCATCAGCCAGCAGAACGCTGCACTGAAGAACAACAGCAGAAGCTCTACAAAGATTTTGAAGATCAAAAGATGTTCAGTGTCGTGTATGGGGAGAAGTTGCACGTCATGGAATTTATGCGCCAAGAAAATGAAAACCTCAAACTACTCATTCAGAGCCTTACAAGAAGGATCCAGAACAGAAAAGCCATGAAGGACAAGTATAAAGCCCTGAAATCAGAAAAAAAAGATGTTTCTGCAAAACGAAATGAGCTTCTTAAAGAACTTCGTTCGCTCTACTCAAAGCGTGATAGCATGCCAGTCTATGAAGGCAAGTTTGGTCCACTGAGACAGGAGATTGAAGCCTTAAGAAGACACAACGATGAACTCCATCAAGAAATCAAACAGCGCATTGAGGAGATGGAAAACAAAACCGTCATAGACGAAATGTATAAAGCAATGAAAGTAGAGAAAAATCTAACTCAGCGAAATAACATCCTGAAAAAAGAAATTCAGAAGGTGGAGAAAAGGCTTGTAAAGGAACAAGCTTTGGTAGACAAGAATAATGTCATGAAAGAAGAAAATGAAGCCTTGAGCCAACAAAACCACACATTACAACTCGAGGTTGAAGAGCTCTACGCCAGACTACAAAGTGAACAAATGCTGGAGGTCATGAATAAATCGCTGACAATGGAAAAAGATGCCATGGTCCGAGGAAAGGACGTACTTCGACAAGAGGTCCAGGAGCTCAATGAAAAGTTGAACAGCAAAAAAGCTTTAGAAAGTGCGGGCAACGCGATGAAGGCTGAGAAAGAGAACATCGACCAAGAGCCCTCCGCACATACGACGCTTAGCTCACCTGTGAGGCTGGGAAAAATCCAACCTCCCACAAAAAAGTGCTGGTTCAATTCCTGGGCCTGACTCTGATTTTTGTCTGCGTTTCTGTGTGGACTTTGTATGTTTTACCCCGTGTCTGTGCAGATTCTCTCTGGGTGCTCCGGCTTCCCCTACATCATAAAACAATTCTAATTCTAAATTGGCCTAAAAAAAACAAACAGTACCTAAAAGCAGGGCAGCACGGTGGTGCAGTGGTTAGCACTGTCACCTCAGAGCAAGAAGGTCCAGGGTTCAAACCTTGGTCGTCTGCGTTTCTGTGTGGAGTTTGTATGTTTCTCTCCTGGTGCTCCGGCTTCCCCCCCACCGTCCAAAGACATGCAGGTTAATTGGTGACTCTAAATTGTGCTTACATGTGAGTGGATGTTTGTTTCTATGTGCCCTGTTATGCTGTTCAATTTTCTCCCCTCTTCACCACCTCTCCAGGTGTTCCATTTTCCTCCTTATATATGTACATTCGAAAATGACCTAAAAAAATAAAAAATAAAATTAAAAAATTTGATTATTTCTGGTTATTTATTAAGAAATAGTTGGTAGTTTATAGTTGTTCCAATTTTGATGTGTTTTTTCTAAAAAAGATCACATTTTTCCCACAACCACTTCTCTGCACTGGCTCCCTGTATAATCCTGAATATAATTTAAAATCCTTGTGCTCACCTACAAAGCCCTTAATGGTCAGGCACCATCATATCTCATATATCATAGGGTATCAAGAACCGGTTCCAAGTTAAGAGAGTGCGTGTCCGAGGAAAGTTGGTATAAACATCTTAAAGATCTTAAGGTGTTATAAGTTACTTTCTCAAAGAAATATGACCACATTACTCCTATTTTAGCTTCATTACACTGGCTCCCAGTATGTTTTAGAATTGACTTTAAAATTTTATTGATCACTTTTAAAGCTCTTCATGGTCTCTCGCCTTGTTATATTTCTGAACTTTTAGTCCCATACACACCAGCACGTACCTTGAGATCCTCGGGCAGAGGTCTGCTGTCTGTTCCAGAGTCTCGACTGAAAACTAAAGGGGACAGAGCGTTTGCTGTCAGGGCCCCGAGGCTCTGGAACAGTCTGCCCGAGGAAATCAGGTCGGCGGAGTCAGTGAACTCTTTTAAGTCCCTCCTTAAAACATACTTTTATAGGAGAGCCTTTCCCGATCTTATTTGACTTTATTTGATCCCTTTTATTTTATTCTATTTTACTAATTTTATATTTATCTTAAACGTGTATTTTAGTCTTTTCAATGTTTTCATGCTTTTATCTTGTATTGTTTTTGTATTATTGTCTTTGGGTATTATTGTCTTTACACTTGTTAAAGCACTTTGTAACTTGTTTTGAAAAGTGCTCTACAAATAAAGATTATTATTATTATTATTATACTTCATTCTAAACAGTTCCCTAAACTTTCATGCTTACAAGTCAAGTGACATTAAGTGTGTTGTACAGCAGCCTAGGTTCTAACTGCCTGCAAAAAGCCTCTCTAAAGCAGGATGCTACTCTTTGCTGTCACTTCAAGCCATCTGGTACCAAGAATTTTATAACTATATATCAGTTAACAAATTTAAAAGGAATGAAAAGAGGGTAAACTGTGTCAAGGAGGAGTTTAGTTGGTGGGTATTTTGAAGACTACATCACCTATTTGAGTATAATGTGATGAGAGATTTGTGTCTGACAGGGAGATCTTTCCAGCCTTCTAACGGGTTAATATCTACTGGACTCCAGATGATTTTAATTTAGATTTCAGTCGACTACATTATATAGTAATAAAAGCACTCAAGCTCGAACAATCTGCACAGTGGGTGACCAAGAGAATTTCAGGGATTTTCCAGTTACTTTTTAAAATAGCCAACCAGACTGTACGTGGTTATTTGTGGTTAGTTTGACTTTTCCGGTTGTTCCCGATGTGTGGCCAAACAAACTGAACTGAGATGCCCTTTTAAACAATTACACTCATTCAGATCAGTTGATGTGCACGTCTCGGCTAAGTACGTTGTAGTGGTGAATCAAAGGGTGTTTAGTTGCATATTCTTGATTGCCAGCTCGTTTTTGCGATGAATCATAACAGCAGTTTGAAACCTCAGCACAACAGTGCTTTTGTTAGTCAGAGGAACTTAAATGGATTTGGATAATCTGCCTCTGCACTGCTAACATGGAGGAAAGAAACTAATGCTATTACAAGAAGTAATCTGCAAAAGATATTTTGGTTCACTCTTAGTTTGACACTTATGGCCGAAAGCAAAAGAACAAGAGAATATAAATCACATAGTTTCTTACTTTCCAGGAAATGCCCAGATGTGCATCCCATCAAACTATGGGAAAATGGCCCATGTCCTGGACAGGGGTACATAAAAAACATTTTGATTTGTTGTGTGAACTTCACACTAAGCTACTTGTGTTCTATTCCTATCTGGAAAACAGAGGATAATAAACACAGTTTTGCTTATATTCTCACTCATGCCCACACCCAGTGATAAGAAGGTAAAACTTGAAACAGTAAGGACCTGTGCACCACTCACAGAGGTCATGGCAGAGCTGCACACAAAGGATGTCTCTGCGAGAGACGAGGAGTTCTGGCTGCCTCTCATTCAGAGTCTGTACAAGTCGTCCTGCCAAGTAACCCACCCTGTGCCAGCACACAACAAAACAACTCATTCCATACAAGATGTACAATGCAAAACACCACAAAACATCACAAACAATAATTATGCAGAGAGAAATAAGACTAAGACTTTATCTAACATTTGGAAATACAACCTCCTTTTTGTTTCAGATGCTATTAACCTTTTTATTGGTTACTGCTCTCAAGGATTCCTTGCAGTGAGTCAATTTGAACACAAAAGCTCTTCCAATTAACGAGAGCATCAGTTGAATGGAGTGAAGGAAGGTCATCCACATCTGCTGTTCGACCATTAACACGGTCCTGGCTTTATATATCCCGGCCTTTGACCTACATCCTTCCACTTCATTTTCTAGTCTCTGGAAGTGAGGTGTGTCGATGATTTTGATGGTGGTGGTCAATAAACACCTGGCAGAAGACAGGACAACAAAGAGCTATGAAAACCATTCATAAATCAAAACAGAAGAGTGCCAATAAGTCCAGCCTCTGTGTTTATCTTTGGGTGGAAGGGTGGTCTCAACAAAGACACCAGGATATATATATACACACACACACACACATATAGAATTAAACCAGAATGCAAAATAACAGACAGATTTAAGTAAGAAACAGCGAGGTAAAATGCGTTCCAGTCTTTGGGCCCGGACAGAAAAGGCCTCGCTCACCTCTGGTCTTCAGCAGTGAGTCTTGCAAAGCTACAGGCCCACTGCTTGAGGAACTATGTGAAGGCTCGTGTGGACTTACAGTTCAGTAATATAGCGAAGTGCCTGGCCACAGAATGCTTTAAATTTGAATATCTATTTGAGAACAAACCAGCCAGTGTAAAGAGCAGGATGAAACTAGAAACCAAATGCAAAGCTTCCACTTTTGCTAAGAGGTCTCTGAAGACCCATAAGATTCACCCTCAAGGATCTAGCAACAAGTCTTTCTTCACTTCACACAATCATCTGCTTTAACTATTTTTTCCTCCAGCTTGTAATCTTAATTTGTGAGCAGGGATACTGCAGCCCAACACCTGTGATTTTGTTGTGCTGGATAACAGAGCAAACAATTGTTTTGATGTTGAATTATACAACACATAATAAAAACACAGCAG